ATTGCTAATCAACATGTTGTGTGATTACTTCAATAATTACTTATAGACTATTATTTTGCCACCAGAAGAAAGCATTGTTGCTTTCTGAACTCCAGGTTGCTCACAAGGGTGCTCAACCTTTGGGCATCTCTGCACCACACTGGAAGATGAGCTGTTTTGGGCCACATATTAAATACATTGCAACACGTAATAACACAAAAAATATCTCATAATGTTTTAAGTAAACTTACGATTTTGTGGTGGGCCGCATTCACAGCCATCCTAGGCTGCATGTGACCTGTGGGCTGCAGGTCAGACACCCCTGCTAGAGCCTAGGCGTAGTAAATGTATCTAAAGTCGTTCCTAATCATTGGGCATTCTCAAATCTACTGTTAAAGATACATGTTAAATTATGAGAGCATGTGATACACTGCAAAAAGTCCTGGATTAGAAATTAGATGTAGGTTCTAGTCCCAGTTCTGCCACTTTGTTATGCAAATCTGAGTAAATTGTTTACTTCTTTTAGGCTCAGCTTTCTTATTGGTAAAGGGGGAATACATAGAAATTACATCATACACAAATTAGACTACAAGTATATGTGCTTGGCAAAAAATCTAAAAGAAAAATATCAATTTAAATAACACTGAATGAGCATATGCCATGAAGTGAGCCTGAGCTGTAAAGCACAAACCTGTTGTCACGTCACTCTGTTTTCACATGCCTCTCATTGAAAGTCTTTCTCTGCTACATTATTTGAATGTTTAAAAATTAAAATATGTATTTGTTTGTTTAGGACAAGGTCCCTACACATAATCCACTTGCTTCATCTAAGGCTCAAATGAATAGATTGCCATTCAGGTGATGTGATTTATTTTGTTTACTTTTGAACCAAGTAGGATGTTGACTCCAATATACCACTGTATTACATTGGCATGGGGAACACATTAAGTCAGAGTTGATGGAACCCAAAAAACACACTGTTGAGACCCCAATTTACCAATCTGTTTACGTTACTGGTTACTAAATAACATTTTATCAAATATGTCACTACTCCAACAGAGCTATGCCACTGTCTGGGGCACAAGTATATAGACATACATAGAAAATAATGAATGTACAAAGTTATTTATTGCATAATACTTTTAATAAGAATCAGGAAAAAATCTAAATATCCAAAAAAAGGGGACTGATGAAATGATACATCACACAATGGAATACTATGCATCCATAAAGAAGAATGAAGAAACTCTTTATATAATGATACGGAACAACTTCTAAAATCAGTTGAAACTTAGAGCAAACTATGCACAGTATGTAGCATTTATGTAAAAAAAGGGGGGGAGAGAAAAATATATATAGTACTTATTTGCTTATACATGCATAAATTTTTTTTTGGAAATATATGTAACAAACTGTTGGCATTAGCTGCCTCCTTGGCAAGGAACCGGTGGTTGAGGAACAAGTGTGGACGGAAGACTTTTAACTGCGTATCTTTTAAAATTTTTGAATTTTGAACTACATGAATGTATTACCTAATCCAAAATGAAAACACAAAATTTAGATCAGCAGTTTGAGATGAAATAGGATCACATTCTTAACAGAAAACATTTATAAAAAGTAGGTTTAGTCTAAGGGTAAATATCTGCCGGTAGAATGTTGGGGCAATAAGTGACCTTCCATAAGAGACTCATCTATTCCAAACTTCTCGCAGGTCTGTAAATCAAGGCCATGAAGATTAAGGGACTTGTGTAAGGTCACATAGAAGAGTTAGTATTAGAAATCAGATATTCCAATATTTACTTTATCAATATTGTCTCCTCATTTTGTGTGGCAAAACAGAGCCAGATAAGTTTAGGCTACATAATGGGCTGTCACGTTCTATCTAAATTTTAAGAGTCTGAGGTACAAAATAATCTCAAACCCTTGAACTACTAATGACTTGTGTGGTTTCTACATGGCTACACTAAGAGGCTGTGCATAGCTCTATGAACAAACATATTACAGTATGACAAATGTATGTTTTTCGATCCTTCTAACTCAAGTAAATTCACTGAGGAAAAGAACTTAAGTGTATTAATTTTTTTAATTTACAAATGCCTAGTGCAATTGTATTGCCAAAAATATTAATACAGATTCACATTCCTTAATCAACACCCAGGGGATGGATGTGCTTTAGAAATAATAACTTCTTGGAACTTTAAAAATGTCACAAGGTAAACAAACCATTATATAACACCCAACATACCAGTGGCCAAGGGCCACACCCCATAGTCAATCATTGTATTTCTTCAGCAAAACGTGTGATAAAGACCATATATAACTTCTTCATAGTTCAGGTCATATTTTGCTACCAATTGAATTTTGTCTCCAAGCTTAAAAAGTTTTTGGTTTTCAAAGCCTTTGAATGCTGGAATCAGGTTATGAGATCATAGACAGTATTCACAAAGCTGCTGCTAGAAAATATGGTTAGTCACTTAAAACTCTCATCTTTTGGATGAGAACAGAACGAGCAGGCAGTTTTTACATCCCAGGTTTGGCCAAAGACTTGTTTTATGATTTAGGAATACAACCTAGCAGAGGGGACAAAAGCTGACATTATGAGAAGAGAAAAATGAAAACAGAAAAGAAAATCCTAATCATGCAACACTGTATTCCTATCGTGGCTGCTCATTGGTGATTAATTTAATAAAAGCTCCCTTTGATTAGATGTTAGTTTTTAAATGGAAATAAATAAAAATCTGTCCCACATTGCTGAAAGGGGATAGAATCAATGAGCTTTAATCCTACTGGAAGGTAAGTGTACTCTTTTGGGAACCAGTGTAGTAAGTACAAAGAAAGAGGCATTCCAAATACACTGGTAATAAATAAGAAGAAATGTATACAATTTTCTGAACATAGTATCATTGCTCCAATATAAATGAAAGAATTTTGTAGTTACCTTTTCCTGATTGACTGTTCTATATTAGTATCCGTCCTTTTTTCTTAGAAAGCCTTGTGTGACTTTTTCTACCTTTTTCAAGGGAAAATACTCTGGAACATATACTAAAATTCCTTCATTTCTTTTCACAACCCAAGCTCCACCTCCATTTTGTTCTTTACAATTAACATATTTTTTCCTGGCCAAAAAAAATCAAATTTGCATTAAAAGATTACAAATCAACTTTGTAGACAACAATGTTTGATATAATTGAGTTTAAGAATGTTGATTTTTCAAACTTAACATATTTTAGCTACATGTAACTGAATCAATTACTGTGTTCAATTTATGAAGTTCATATTCTGAAGTGTCTACCAAAAAGTGTGCTTCACTCCAAAAAAATGGAAAAGACAATGGTAAACAAGAAAACCCCCCAGTTTTAGCTATTATTTCAGGAGGAAATACTAAGGTCTCATATTTTTATCATAACTCATTTTTAAAAAACCTAATTAGCTAGCTGTTATAATAATACACCAGCACATTAATAATCTAGTACAGCGATTTTCAACCGGTGTGCTGCAAGAATTTTTAAAACATGCAATCACTACCTCTTTTCCTTTGGTTTATCAAAGTAAAAAATGACAACAGCAACACAATAGCTATCCAATGTGAATGAATCAAAATTATACCTATTTTTAAATCAGATTAGGAAAAAATATATTTTCTGGTGTGCCACAGAATTTCAGTAATTAGTTTGTGTGTGCTGTGAAATGAAAACGGTTGAAAATAGCTGATCTAGTACAATAAAAAAGGTAACCAAAAACTAATCATGCTGTATTTCAGTCTGGAAAAAAACTCCCTGTGGATTTCTTGACCATTTGCATTCAGAAGTACCAAAATCTTGATTGCGTTTTTGGTACTTCTAAAATGATTTTTACTGAAGAACTTCTTAGTACACAGGACTTGTTTCCTGTATGCCATCCTATAAAAATGATCAGCATTATTCCACAATATGATCGTTTAGTTTGAGACCACTTTAAAAAAAAAAAAAAGGCCAAAATTACCAATGGTTACTCTGTCAAGAACTGGTTAGAAACTACATACTGTTATTCTAGAACTAGAACCAGTCGACTTAAGACTACACCGACCCCAAGATTCAGAATGCAGACTAGGAAATAGCACACGTGGTCACGATGTCCCTTAAACCACATAACCTTCCTAGAAAAGCAGAGCCTTAAACTTAACGAACTAAATGAGAACTACCCCGTTATCCTAAATTAAAACAAGGCAGGAGCCAGAAGTCAGCGCGGCAGAGACAGATCAGAGGCTTACTAGTTAGAACGGGTAAGGACAGCTGACTCCCTGTGCTTTGGCTACTCCCCTTACCGTTAGAAGATCTGGGAGGAAAGAAGCAGAAACATCCCAGAATCCGGGCAGAAAAAACCCTTGGCCTCGAAGAAGGGATTTGGGGAGACGGGGAGGGGCAGCTCCGTGTGTGGTGACCCTTTGTGAGTACGCACTCGGGCAGCTCGACTCTCACTGAGGATTTTGGAGGACGGCCTATAGAGGCCTCACGCGGCCCACAGTCGCCGAGACCACAGTTCCTCGAAGACGCGACGGCCAAGAGCCTCCAACGCACCCTCCGCCGACTCGGGACCCCGTCCCTCACCCGCCCACCATATCACTCAAAGGCACACAAGCTTCCGACTCGGGGTCGCGCGGGCCACGTAGCAGCAAGACGCGCGCCAGTCTCTTTCCTCAGCGTAATCCCTCCGCGGCCGACCGTGAACTAGTTTAATCACTCCCCACTCCAACTGACGTCACCTCCGCCTCTCGAGCGCTTTCCTGCAGCTTCGAGGTACGTCGCCTCCCTCAACCCAGCCACTCACAGACTGCAAGCTCTGCAGCCACCGGACCCGCCCCCAGCCGTCATCGCGAATAAAAATGCGGCTGCGGAGGCCTGGCAGGCGGCTCAGCTTTGCGGAAGCGTACCGGAAGTGCTCTCTTCATCTCCTTCCGCCACGCTTACGGACGTACCTAATCCTTTCGGGCCCCGCGCGAAGTAGAAAGGGGAACTTTTTTTACCGCGGACTCAAACCGGAAGCTGCTTTCCTAGCGGGGTGGTCGGTGGGGGAGGAGCAGGCTGAGGTTGAACGTGGAGTGAACGTTGCACTGTGCGGTGGAACTGGAGTTCGAATCGAACCCGAGCGAAGAAGAGTACTCGCCGCAGGTAAGGGAGAAGGTGTCCTTCAGCTCCCGAAATTGGAAAACGGGATGGAACCGGGTTGATCTATGGAGTAATGTGTACGCTGAAAGGATGGGCTGGGCGAGGGAAGGGCGGGGACAAGGTTTCAATGGAAGGGGTTGAGGAATAAGGAGTATAGAGGTATAGGTTTAGGTTGGTTTGGACTCGGAGAGGTAAATGCTGAAGAGAAACCAGAGCTGCTGTTCTCCCTTTTTGCGAAGAGCGTGTGGAAGGGATGGGGGGGGGGGATGGTAGCAGTTACGGAACCCAGCGCCTCCTGGGGTTTCCAGTGTTGGGGTTTGAAACTGACCTCTGTGGGTCCTAGACGTCTTTGATTCACGACGGCTGGGTGTGGTGCCCGACCCGGTTGGGCGCAAAAGCCGACCCCATTTCTCTGCTCCAAGTGTGTTGTGGCTTCCCCTTTGCACGTGCTTACCCCACTTGGTATTGGAGGGCAAGCTGAAATAGGTGTGAGGTTCTTCTTGGAATGGTTTGTTGTTTGGGTTTTCCCACTTTGCACGCGGACTGTCAATTAAGCGTAATTGCATCTCTTTCGTTATTCCCAGGACCGACTTCACACATGTATTGCGCTGTGACTTCTGGGCCCATGCTGGGTTAGTAATTGACACTCGGGCTTCTGAAGTATCACTTGCTCACAGAAGTAATGAAAACGGGGGTGTCAGAAGAAAGATGCTGGGAGTGAAGAGTAGAGGAGGATCATACTGTGAGGTCACAATGCAGTGACCTTTATTTTAGGTCATAGTACTACCTTTAGGTCACACTGTACTGTTTGGACAATAAGCAGGCCGGTGTTAAGAGTTGATCTTAACCTGGACGGGGACAAACTCAGACTTGGTTTATAGAAGCATCACTTCGGTAGTGATAAGAGGTAAGGATGGCATGGAAAGAGGTAGGGATTTGAGACACTTCCAGAGAACTGTCCGCAAAACTGACGACTTCTACTACGTGAAGAAGAGGGAAGTGAAAGAGTGGAGAACCATTCAGATTTTCTGGTGTATGTGTCTGGAGGAATGGAAATGCCAAAATACAGATGAAGTACAAGAGAGAGAGGAACTGGTTATTTTTGAAGGGAGGATAAAGGAAATTGTATTTGGGAGACCTGAATAGCCCACTTCCGGTATATTATAAAGTGAATTTTCGTTGGGGGGGGGGGGTTCCTGCATATTTAGTATTTGATCCACCAATCTACCTGCTTTTCTCATTGAAATGTTAGTGGTGGGATTAGGGGAGAAGATTTGAATGCTCCTTCTGTATCACTTTTATAATTGAGAGCCAGGGAAAACCATCTGGAAAACTTTTCTTGATCCCTGAAGCAAATGGAAATTTTTGTTAGCAGTTTATTCAAGATACAGAGATAACCTGTTTTTCTTTTGAGAATGATACAAGATGGATTTTATATTTTCTACAGAGTGAAGTATAAAATTAGCACCAAATATATAGCAGTTAAAGTTTACTGTGTAGCAGATGCTAAACATTTTACATATGTTAGTGCATTTACTTCTTAGAACAACCAATTTTACAAAGAAATTGCTGCAGCCAGACTTACAGGTGTAAAGCCCCATCCTTGAACCACTCTGAAACCATAAAAGTTTGACTCTTTCCTATATAGCTCCCCTTTGTAAGCAGATTATAAACAGAACTAGCCAAAGATAATAAATTGGTGTGTGTGAGCAGCTTAAAAAGAAAAAAAATTAGGCACTAAACTTGTTTTTAACCTTTTGGCAATGGTTTTCCTTGGGGTGATTTTTGCCTCCCAGGAGATTTGATTGTCAAAACTGAGGAGTGAGTACCACTGGCGTCTAGTAGATAGAGGTCATAGATGTTACTAAACATCACATACAGTGCACAGGGCAGCACTCACAACAGAGATGGAGCTGGTCCAAAGTGTACATAATGTTGTAGTTGAGAAACCTTGCCTTATGGATAATTTCTTGAGGAAGAAGAAATTGAGATTCATTGACACTGGCTTTCAAACAGCGTTTTTATTTTATTATTTTTTAAAAATTATTCCTTGGCTTGAAAGTGTATAAAGTGTATACAGCCAGAATAGAATAGCATAACTAGAGTGTATACAGCTGGAATAGAATAGCATAACTACCTTTTCTAGTGAACCTGTGAAATGCATTTTCCCAGGAGGTGGTTGTTATAAAAATTATAGTTTCTTAGATTTGGGAAAGACTTGCTTGAAATTATTTTACAACAGCCCTGCTAAGTGGTAATTTGCTCTGCTTATAGATGTCCTGTCTCTGATTTTCCTGTATTTTAAATTCATATCTACCCTACTCTTAATCAATTTTCTTACACTGAGCTCCAGTCTCATAACTTTGACTTTCCTGAATGTGATTCTAGGCCATGGGACTACACTCAGAACAGGCTTGTTGCATGTGTAGTTTGTACTGTAACAGTGTTTATGTTTTTTGTTGTGGTACAGATCATTTGCTTTAATGTGAAATAGTATCTTGTTGGAAGCTTTTAAAAAGTAGCATTGTACTCAGTTGGTGAAGTATTCTTGGTGGTTGAAAGCACTAGGAATGTGTGGAGTTCTTTGGTCCCTGTCAAGTAATGACACATCGATCTGAGGTTTTCGAAGTACTTTCTTAGTGTAACCCTGACATTTGTTTTGAATTGTGCATAAACTCTAAAAACTTAGGCTTTCAAATGCTGGTCAATAAAAAATGGCTTTAAATAATAGCTACCTCTATTACAAGTTCTGATATATTTACTTAGAAATGAGTCTATGAAAACCAGTCCTATTGCCAGTCTCTGCTCTCTCCCCACAAATTTGTTAGATTTATAAGTATATTTAAGTATTTTTTCACTTCAAGAGTACAGTCTCAGAATATGTTTATCCTATGACATATAGTTCTCAAAAGATACTTAATATATATACATCTTGTAAAAGACCAAAGCTCTATTTCAAATTAAGTAGGATTTTTATTTAATTGTTTATTGACTTTTTTTTTTCAGGGTTCATTGAAAAATCGTTAGTGATATTGACATGTTTCAAGTGAAATAAATTAGCCAATGACTCGGAATGATGGATTCCTCGAAGACTGGAAATGGTTTGCCAGTGATTGGACCAGGGACTGATATAGGGGTATCTTCACTCCACATGGTGGGGTATTTGGGAAAAGTTAGTGAACTTATTTTTTTGCCTCAGTGCAGAGTTGGGTGTTTTTCCTCCTATTTTTGAGACTTAATTTGATTTTAATTTTACCAGTTAACGTAAAAATATATCTTTTTCCACGGAAATCTTATAGTACTGGCGAAAGATTGTTTTAATTTGTTTACCTCTCTGTTTTGTTAATATGTAAAAGTAGAAATAAGACACAGACCTTATAGTTTACTGTTCTTTGAAAATATGAAACATGCATTTCCCCTGGCAGTTTACATTATTTTTTTCCTTGAAATTAAATTGATATTTTTAACACTTAAATTTTAATATTTAAAACTACAATATATTCTTTTTGGAATAATATCTGTATTTAAAGCCTGTATGTGTTTTTTTATTTGCCATGTTGAAAATATCTTGCCAGGATGCTTGTAAGTGAAAGTCGTAATTCTTTTCTGGTTGCTTTTCCATTTGACTCTGTAATTTGGCACAATCTAGGAATGTCTGTATTTTAATTTGCTTTATTTCTCTTTTAGAAATATGATTCTGCTAACATCCCGTCAGATGGGTATTGTCCTGCTTGTAGAAAGAAGGGGAAGTTAAAAACTTTAAAGACTTACCGAATTAGTTTTCAAGAATCTATCTATTTGTGTGAAGATCTGCAGGTAACGTATTAATTTTAGATAGTATCAAGGTTTTGGCCTTTTGCTTTCTTTCTTCAGTGTTTAATTTGTACTCATTTTGTGTTTTTAGACTGTACATTTTTAATACTCAGATAATCAGAGTTTCTAGATCTGTTTGATAGACCCTGTTAAATAAGATCTATTTTTCTACCTGCTTTCCTGAGTTAATGCAAGATGTTGTTTATTTTTATTGTCATTAGACTTTTGTGAGGAAAAAATACATTTTTAAGGTTGGTTTTTTAGCCTTGTTTGTGGGTCCTTGTTAGCTGTTGGTGCGTAGTAGTAAATCTCTCTTCTATTTGGTTTATTAACTTTGGAATGTATTGGAAAAGTCATTAATCTTTATGTTATATATTTAAGGCTCTAAATATCTTTGAGGATTAATTACAGTAATTTGTATCTATGCTACCAAGTTTTATACAGGAGCTTATTAAATGGAGCTCCATAATACTCTACGTTTGTTTTTTGTTTTTTTTTGTACTTGACAGTTACTGTTACATACACATTTAATTCTCAACACTTTGTGAGCAACAAAAGAGATGCAGAGAGTTTAGGAACTCAAGGTATCCATAAAGCAGCAGAGTTGTGATTGGAACACACTCTTCCAATTTCAGATACTTTATTTTTTTCATCCTTCCCCAAGAACATTTTTCCATTACTTTTAGAGAGAGCAGAAGGGAGAGAAAGAAACATTGATGTGAGAGAGAAGCATCAGTCGGTTGCCTCCTGTGCACTGAGGGTCAGATATGCCCAGACCAGGTGGTCAGACCTGCAGCCTACGTGTGGGCCCTGACCAAGAATTGAACCCCCAACCTTTTGGTTACTGGATGACACTCCAACCAATTGAGCCATACCATCCAGGACTAATTTCAGATACTTTATTCCAGGTAAGCTAGCAAGTTCATCAGAATCATCTGGAGTGCTTTTTAAAAATACCTCTGTCTCACTCCCAGATGCTGATAAAGTAGGGTTGACCCAGGATTCTGTATGTTTGTAACTCTTGAGGGCAAGCCTGATGATTAACCAAATTTGGAAAATACTAGACTAAGTCATGCTGTTGGTGATAGATATTTTGCTGGGTACAACTTGAGAAAATCGTAAGCATTCTTACAATTAGAAATAAATTCTTTTTGCATGTACTCAATGAATATTTTTTGAGCATCACCATGTTGATGCTGTTTTATATGGCAGGATACAATGAGTAAAACAAAATTTTCTTGCTCTGAAGAATGTTATATTCTAGAGTAGGGATAGAAACAACCAAGTAAAGTTTATTTTTTGTGTGTGAGGTGATGAAAGTGCTGTGGAGAAAAAGCCACAGGGACTGAGTTTCAGGGAATAGGGAGATCGCAGTTTTAAGTAGTGTGATGAAGGGAACTCTTCTTTGAGAAAGTGACATTTGAGCAAACACCTGAGGGAGATGGAAAGGAATGAGCTTCCTAGACAGGGAGGGTCACAGGTATAACGTCCTGAGAGTGGAGGCTGCCTGTTTATATTGGTGCCACTACCAGGAAGCCCCACAGCTAGAACTGAGTACATGAGCAGACATAGAAGATGGGTCAGTCAGAACAATAACGGGGAGGAGGCTGGGCCAAATAAGGTCTTTATAGGCCATCTTAAGGTCTCTGGATGACATAATCTGACTTGTATGTTAAAAAGATCACGTTGGCTGCTGTGTTGAAAATAATAGGTCATGGGCAAGACCTGACGCTTGGAGACTAGTTGGAAGGCAGGTTCAGTATTCAGGAGGAGCAAGTATGGCCAAGGTGAGGGGGCACGGTTGGATTCTGTGTATGTTTTAAAAGTGAAGCCCAAAGGAATTGCTAAACGGTTGGGATACATGGTAGAAAGGGACAAAACAGGTAAGATTTTCAGAATTTTGACTTGAATGATTGTAAGGATGGAGTTGCTATTTACTGAGATGAGAAGGCTTTGGAAAGAGGAAGATTAGGGGAAAGACTAGGAGGTCAGGACCAGTCAAGTCTGAGACATCTAGTATCTTTGGGTGTGTGGAACACACAGTTGGATCTATGTCTGGCATTGGGTAGGGAGTTTGGCATTGGACGTACATGTTTGGGAGCCTTCGTTGTATGAATACTGAACTCCAAGACTGGGGAGTTTACCTAGGAGTATGGATAAAAAGAATAGTAAACCATAAAGGGCCCAAGTTTATTGTTCTTTTTATTATGTAGAGGTGCTGACTCTGCATAGGATTGGTAGATATTTTTTGCCTCTTAAAATTCTTTTTTAATTTTAATTTAAAAGAAACTTTTCCTCCTCCTCTTTGTTTTTTGATTTTGATAATATGTTTATTAAAGCTGGAGATAGTGAAATACAGAAGGGCTTAAGAAAGAATAAACAGCAGGAGGGAGCCAAGGCAGGGCTGCTGTTGCGTCACTGGGAAGTAAGAGAAAAGAGGGCCTTGGAGACAGGTTCAGGGGGTTAACCCGGGACGAGGTGCTGCTGCCCATTGCTCCCCTGGTTGCAAGTCCTGTGGAGTCCCTTAGAGCTTCAGTAATGCATGCCTGTTTCGGGGGGAGAAGGGTGAGGGAGAAGAGACGTGGGTATGTTCCCTGAGGGAGAGTGCACAATTGAAACTGTCCCCATTAAGCAACTCCCTGTTCCCCTCTAGCCTTTGGCAACCACCATTCTCCCTTCTGTCTCTCTGGATTTGACTACTGTAGATACCTATTATAGGTCACGTCATATAGTATTTATATTTTGTGATGGGCTTATTCACTTAGCATAATGTCCTCAAGGTTTATCTATATTGTAGCATATAACAGTTTTCTTTTTTAAAGCTGAATAATACTCGATTTTGTGCGTATTATCACATTTTCTTTATCTGTTTGTCCATGGTCATTTGGGTTGCTTCCACCTCTTAACTATTATGAATAATGCTACGGTAAACATGGGTGTGCAAATATTTCTTTGAGGTCCTGCTTTCACTTTTTTGTTAGAGTACAAAATTATTGCTATTGATTTTAAAGTGTTCTCCATTTTGTGACATGGTAGAATTTAGGAAGCAAAGGTATAAAGTTGAGGGTTAGGTTGCTGTTTGATGGTGACTGCACAATAGTTGTTAACAGAAAGATCCAAAACTAGTCCTGCTTAAGAATTTCATAATAAATGCCATATTATGAATACTGTGTTCACTGGTATTAAAGGTATATTTTAAGTGCATTTCAGTTACCTGCTGCTGTGAAATGAACTACCTCAAAACTTGGTGACTAAAATAACTTAATGGTGTCACTTACTCCTCATGATTATGTAGGTCGGCCAGGCAGTTTACACTTCAAATGCTGTTGACTGATAGTTGGTGCCAGCTGCCATCTGGGAACTCAGCTCAGTCAGTCAGCCATGTTCTTGGTTCTTTCTCACAAGGGTCTTCCTGTGAGGCTTACTGGGCTCCTCATAGTATGATGCTGGGACTGAGAAAGAGTGTTCCTGAAGGAGGGCTCCAGGAAGACAAGTCTAACGAGCCAGTGCTTCAGTCCTCCATGTGCATCATGCTTGCTAGTGTTCCGTCAAAGCTAGTCACATGGCCCAGCCCAGAGGCGTGTGGCAGGGACTGATTCTGAGGGTACGAATACCAGGAGGTATGATTCTCTAGTTCACTAGAGGCCACCAAGGTAGCAGTCTTCCACACTTGTAGAGAATTTGTGGCAAATTTATTTATTTATTTCAGTTAGAGTTGGCATTCTGTATTATTCAGTATTAGTTTCAGGTATACAGCATAAAGGTTAGATAATCATGTACTTTGTAGAGTAGTCCCCCTTATATTTCAAGTATCCAACTGGTCCCATAGTTATTACCATATTATTGACTATATTCCTGTGCTGTACTTTACATCTCTGTGACTGTTCTCTAACTACCAGTTTGTACTTCTCAATCCCTTCACCTTTTTCATCCATCCTGACTCCCCTCTTCAACCATTAGTATGTTGAAAGTGGAATATTTTAAATGAGGGCGCATAGAATCTATATTTTTTTAATTTGTCTTGTAAAATATTTTGCTGTTTTTCAAACTTAGGAAAAATTCATTGATTTTTAGTGATCTGGTTACACTGTTAATATTTGGCTAAAATTGAAGTTATTAAAATCCAGCTACTTTGACCCTTAAACCCAATAAGGATGTAAAGCTTATGTGTTGTTTACTCTCAGATTAATATTCATTTCAAAATTTAGAAATAGAAATTATTCCATCTAACTTTTTTTATTTGAAAATACTTTTGTAATTTTTAGGGTTATACAAGTGTGCCTCTCCCAAAAAGAATAACACCCGTCATAAAACATTGTTTTACACTGCTGAAATTTTTTAATTCACTTGACATTAGCTTTTCATTAAGGCAAAAGTATGTATGTTTTCTTTGGTAGCTAATCCTAGTATATAATTCAGATTAAATTATTACCTAGGAAAAAATTATTCTTTGGGGACCAAATTTCTGATTAGTTGTTTATCCCTAGTTCTTTCAAATGTAGATTGACAATATACCCTGTCATGTGAAATTAATGCCAGAATTTTATACATTTTTTTCCATGACTTAGAAGGAATAAAGTAAAATTTGAGTTTGTTTGAATTTTTGTAGTTAAACATTTCATTTTTTTCTTGCTAGTGCATCTATCCTTTGGGCTCTAGATCACTTAACTTAATTTCTTCTGATTTGGAAGATCATCACACTCCAAATAAGCCTCAAAAAAGAAAGCTTTTGGAAACCAACTCTAAAGATTCACCTTCTTTAGCAAATACCAAAAAAATTAAAAGTCATATTGTTTCTGATGGTGAACAAGTTTTGAACAGCAAACATCATGGAGAAGCATATGACGAAACCTCATCAGACTTACCAGACTCACTGCACAGTGGTCAGCAGAGTCCAGTTAGGATCACTGATTTCTTGGGACAGGAGCAGATTTTGGAAGCTGCTGTTGATGTGGCTGCTGAAGAAGATGGTGCTGCAGTCGATGTTTTTGGAACTGGAGAGACTGCTCATCAAAACGAAGGAGGAACGTCTGAACTGGAAATGCCCCTGCAGAGCAGATGTATACCATTTTGTCAGATGTCATGTGTTCAGTGGAAAAATTCTTATGCCCTCTGTTGGTTAGACTGTATCCTCTCAGCATTGGTGCACTTGGAAGTGGTAAAAAAGGTGGTGATGACTGACGTGTGTCCTAAAGAGGAGTCTGTGTTCTGGCAGTTGTTCACAAAGTATAATCAAGCCAGTAAGCTTCTGCACACCAGTCACGGGGATGCAGTTAAAGGTTGGTAATAATATTATATTTCTCTTCAATTTGTAAAGAAATTAATGTTGAGTTTTGTCTCACAGCATGTGGAAAAGATGCCATTAGAAGTGTCTGTTTTACATGGAGACCTGGGAGCAAGGAGCACAGGGAGTGTGATGAAGCTTGAGATGACACAAGTTGTGTTATCTTCATGGCCTCAAAAGACACCTTTTTAAAAACCTGAGTTAAGTTTGTAAAAGAGGCTGTAGTGTATCTTAGCTGTCAGGGTAATGGTGGTCATCACAGAACCTAACAGAGTAAAGTTGTAAGTATTTAAATTGCTTAAAGCAGAATAAAGAAGTAAATATAAATTACCACAATTCCGCAACTCCCTCCAAATCTCTCTTCACAGTGAGGGAAATATTTTTTGTTCTGGTTTCTATAAAATAGGATGCCCATGAGCCCACCTCCCAACCCAAAAAGAATTAAAATATTGCCAGTAACTGACATCTACCTATGTGTTCCTCCCTATCTCACCCTCCACCTCTGTCCAAAGGTAGTTGTCATTCAGAAATGTTTTATTCCTTCTTAATAGTTCTCCCTACACATGTAATCTGAACAATATATTATCTAGTTTGTTTTCAACTTTATACAAAGGATATACACTATGTCTTCTGGGACCTTTTTTCTTTTCATAAAGATTTACCTATGAAGCTGCTTGTATTTGTGCTTCATTGATATTCATTGCAGTAGAATATTTCCATTTTGTAAATATATCCATGTATTTCTTTATTCATCTGTCATTGGGTTTTTTGCTCTTATAAAAAGCGCTGCTGTGACTTCTCAGGCATGTCTCCTGAGATACAAATAGTCTTGTCCTTGGATGTACCATAGGAATGGAATTGCCAGATCATGGGCCCTAAGTTCAGTTTATAATATAATGGTGAATTGAGAATTGTTTGCCAAAGGGTTTTACCAGTCAGTACTCCCATTAGCAGTGTGTGTGAGATCTTCCTGAATCATATATTTTCCCTTGGTTATTTTCAAACTTGAAGATTGTGTGCTGAGTGACATAAAATGGTTTGTGGTCTTGGTTTGCCTTTCCTAGATTTTAAAGAGTTCGAGTATTTCTTCATGTGTATGTTCCCTCTTCTGTGAAATGCCTGTTCGTGTCTTACCTATATTAATTCTGTTATCATGTTCTTACTGGCTTGTATGAGTTATGTTTTTGTTGCTCTTTTTATATCAGATACATGTTGCTAAGTCCCCCAATTTTATCTTGTATGGTTACTTTTTTTCTCTTAATTTATTGATCGATTTTTTTGAGAGATAGAGAAACATTGATTTGTTTATACATTCATTGGCTGATTTATGCATTCACTGGTTGATTCTTGCATGTGCCCTTTCCCAGGATCAAACCTGCAATCTTGGCATACGGCCAGGGCTTGTATGTTTATTTTTTAAAAGATATCTTTTGATGACAGAAATTGTTATCTTTTTCTTTTGTAGCTAGTAATGTGGCTTTCAAAATAAATCTTTCCTTTCCCTGAAATTACAGAGTCACTCCCCTATACTTTCACTAAAAACTCATCGTTTTGCTTTTGACATTGAAATTTTTAATTCTGCTGGAGTTAATTTTTGTGTATGGTATGTGGTAAGAACACATTTTTTCCCGAGTAGCGAGTTTTTCTAGTTCTACTTTTTGTCTCAACTGATCTGTCATGCCACTTTTATCATGTAACATTCCATATGTGTGTACAGCTGTTTCTTAACTCAGTTTTGTTCTCCTGGTCATTTTATTTGTCCCTGAACCAGTACCACACTATTTCAGTTATTAGGCTTTTTTAGGTCTTGTTTCCTGGTAGTGTAAAAGTCCTCAAGTTTATTAAGTTGACTTTACATGCAATCTTTTATATACAGCTCACCCACTGTTTTCGCATTGGTGACCATCCAAGCTACTTAACATTTTTTGCTATGAGGAATAAACACCACGGCAAGTATCCATAACATTCTTTGACTCTATTGCTGGGTATGTCCTAGAAGGGGTATTAAAATATAAATAAAGATTCTTAAAGTTTTATTTTTTAATATATTTTATTTGATTATGCTGTTACAGTTGCCCCTTTTTTTCTCCCCTTTATTGTCCCCCCTTGTACTGTCCCACTCGTAGCCTAGTTCATGTCCATGGGTTGTACATGGAAGTTCTTTCGCTTCTCCATTTCCTATACTATTCTTAACCTCCCCCGCCTATTTTGTACCTGTTACTTACGCTGCTTATTCTCTATACTTTCCCCCCCATTCTTCCCCCTTCCCCTCCCCTCTGATCTCTATTTTTATGATTCTGTTCCTGTTCTAGTTGTTTGCTTAGTTTGTTTTTGATTCAGTTGTTGATAACTGTGAGTTTGTTGTCATTTTTACTGTTCATAGTTTTCAATCCTCTTCTTTCTCTTAGATGAGTCCCTTTAACATTTCATATAATAGGGCTTGGTGATAACGAACTCGTTTAACTTGACCGTTTCTGCCCTTCCATTCTAAATGATAGCTTTGCTGCATAGAGTAATCTTGGATATAGGTCCTTGGCTTTCATGACTTCGAATACTTCTTGCCAGCCCCTTCTTGCTTGTCAGGTTTCTTTGGAGAAATCAGCTGATAGTCTTATGGGAATTGCTTTGTAAGTAACTGTCTCCTTTTCTCTTGCTGCTTTCAAGATTCTCTCCTTATCTTTAATCTTGGGTAATGTAATTATGATGTGCATTGGTATGTGCTTCCTTGAGTCCAACTTTGTTAGGACTCTCTTGGCTTCCTGGACTTTCTGGAAGTCTATTTCTTTTGCCAGATTGGAGAAGTTCTCCTTCATTATTTTTTCAAATAAGTTTTCAATGTCTTACTCTTCTTCTCCTTCTTGCACCCCAATGATTCAGATGTTGGAATGTTTAAAGTTGTCCCAGAGGTTCCAAAGCCTCTCCTTATTTTTTTGAATTCTTGTTTCTTCACTCTGTTCTGGTTGAATTTTATCTCTTCCTTCTTCTTCCAGTCGTTGATTTGAGTCCCGGTTTCCTTCCCTTTACTGTTGATTCCCTGTACATTTTTCTTTTTTTCACTTTGTGTAGCCTTCATTTTTCCCTCCATTTTGCGACCACACTCAACCTATTTAGTGAGCATCCAGATTACCAGTGTTCTGAACTCTGTATCTGATAGGTTGGCTCTCTGTTCATCACTTCGTTCTATTTTTGGAGCTTTGATTTGGGCCATATTTCTTTGTCTCTGCGCACCTATTATGCTGGAAGGGGCAGAACCTTATTCACCTGGGCAGGGCAACCCAGGTCACTGAGTTGTGATGCTGTCTGTGGGGGAGGGGTCGGAGAGGGAGCAATGCTACTTGCTCAGCTCTCTGCCGGCTTGCAGTCACTTCCCCCGCTACCCACAAGCAAATCGGGCCCTTCTGGTGCTGATTCCCAGGTGCGTGGGTTTGTGTACGTTCTAGAACTCTGTGGGTCTCTCCAGGGGACTCTCCTGTGAGGCTGGGAGTTTCTCCCACCAGTGTAAACCCCACAGGTTTTTACCTCCATGGATTTTGAGGCTTTGTTTTCCCCGCACTGGATCCCTAGATTGCACGGTCTGTGTCACTCCCCAGCTGTTCCTCTCAGTTTTTCCGCATGCACATGTGGAACTGCCAGTCCTCCAGCCAGTGCCTTGCTGCATGTCCCCTCCACCCCGGCTGCCTGTTGTCTCCCCTCCTACTGGTCTGGATGAATGTTTCTTCTTTAGCTCCTTGGTTGTCAAACTTCCATACAGTTCGATTTTCTGGTAGTTCTGGTTATTTTTTGTTTTAAAATTTGTTGTTGTCCTTTTTTTGGTTGTGTTAGGAGGCAAAGTGTGTCTATCTACGCCTCCATATTGGCTGGAAGTAAATATAAAGATTCTTTTTGAATGGCTTTCCAAGGGCTTACGTCAACATGCAATTCCATTTTCACATGTAGAAGAAAATATCCCTGAGCACTCGAATCACTTCTGGGTGTAAACATTTAAAAAGTTATAATTTTGTTAGATAAGAAATATTTTGTTTCAGTTTGACTTTCGTTGAGATTGCATTTTTTTTTTTTGCAACTTTTCAAATTCAGTTTTTCAAAAGCATTTTTGCCCTTCTCTCTCTTCCTGGTCTCTATTATTACAGAAATCTCAATACTGAGTAGGTGATGATTGTTCTATTGATTGTTGCAGAAGAAGCATACCTCTCGTTCAAATTTTGACTTAAATTAATTTTGTTTTTTAATCTTATATTAATATTTTACAGAATAACTGTAGCTTTTAAAATACTATTGTAATTACATTTGTTTGGATTGTGTTTTAGGATATATAGTATATATATCCTACAGAGAAGGAAGTATTAAGAAAATTTGGTGTTTTGTATTTTGTGTCTGCAAAATTTATTGCCTTACAAACTTCCATTCTTGACAGTGTCTTCATTTTTTTTCTTTGAAAAGGTATATATAGATTGATGAGAAATTGATAACATTCTGTGCTTTATTTTTAGACGGAGATTGTAAAAAACTTACTTCTGAAATACTTGCAAAGATAGAGACCTGTCTGAATGAAGTCAGAAATAGCATTTTTATCAGGCTTCAGCCTCAGCTTAGGTGTACGTTAGGTAAGTAATTTGTATAATTTAACTGTATAACTCATCTACCATAAAGAAATACCAACATCATGAGGAAATGTAATACTGCTGTATTACTTTGAATAATCTAGATTCCTAGGGAAGAGAATCTGGCTGGTTTCATTTAGGAATTGACCACTGGTTAAATCATTGGTGAGTAGAGCTGGTCCATCTGAGCAGAGGTGTCCAACCTTTTGGTGTCTCTGCACCACACTGGAAGAACAGTTGTGTTTGGCCACACATTAAATACATTGCAACACATAATCACAAAAAGATTTCATAATGTTTTAAGTAAATTTATGATTTTGTGTTGAGCTGCATTCATAGCCATCCTGGTCTGCATGTGGCCTGTGGGTTGCAGGTTGGACACCCCTTGTAAAGGATGCAGGCAGTGTTTCAGCCCTAGAGTGGATTCTAGTCTCACAAACAGTGGAGAACTTGGGTGCTCTGGTTTCTTTTTTCAGTCTTTCCTACAGTGGAGAAATCCCGCTGAAAGTGCACCTAAGGAATCTAAAAGTAAACAGTAGTGCTAGGGGCCCAGTAAGTACGAATTTCAGGATGGAGCTCAGATACCAGGAACTTTAGAAGCTCCTACATGACTCTTACAGATGGACAAGTTTGAGAATCTGTGGTCTAAACCAACCAGAGTAATTCTACTTTGCTTGTCAGAGATTGGTTTAGAAATGGACAGATGGTACAGCTTTTGCCAGTGGGATATTAGGGTAAGTATACTGATGACCTTTTGGGGGCACTTTCTTACCCTGAAAATAAGGCACAAGAATAAGACCTGCTTTGTCCTCTATTGGCTTTTGTTCTTTGGGAGCAGTGCGGAGCAAGGGCACTAGATCTCTGGGTCTTTCTTAGTGTTTTTAGTATTGCAGAAAGGACCTGTAATGATTTGTTTGTGTGTTTGAGGGGGATGTCTGTTTTATTTCTATTTATCCTTGTATTAACTCTTCTTAAATACTGCATTAGAGAAGCAGAATATATGGTATTCGTTGTTAAATTGTGTAAAATATCAGTGCCTTCAAGTTTTTCTCTTAACAGGTGGCATTTATTTTATCGGAACCAGATACTGTATCTGAAGCAGTGCTTTTTTGCATGGTAGTACCTCCTACTTCTTTGTTCCACAGTTTTGTCCCCTAGCTTTACTGTCTTTTTTTTTTTTTTTTTTCCCCACAAACTCCCATAGATACTACTTTACTCTGTTATAATAATAAACTTATTTTCTATATGCCAACTTTTTGGCATTGCCTCCTTTAGATCTAAAGGGCTGTTTTAATTTATGAGTAGTTGATATCTCAGATGGGATGAATATTCTTTTTTTTTCTTTTTATCAAACTGTTGAACATATAGTAAAATCATTTTGAAATGTATACAGTTGTTTAACCATTACCACAATGATATAGAACATTCTATTACCCTAAAAATTTTCCCCAGGCTCCTTAGTAGTCAATCTTCTTCCTTACCCTAACCACCAAACCATTGGGTGAACACCCATTTCAAAAAGTCTTTTTCATAAGATCACCAGAGTACAGATTCGAGGGACTCCCATGTTGCACATTGGAATGTTTCCCTCCTAGCATGTTAGTCGGGGTGCAGACTCCAGGGCCCAGTTGAATTAAAGACTTCTCCCACAGTCCGAATCATCACCCTTATCCCTGATAATTTTGTATGAAACAGATTTGAAACTTTCTCACTGCCACCTTGGGCATGGTTTTCCTTATAACAGAAAAGGGATTTTTAAATGATTATTTGTGCAATCATAGCAATTGGATGAGAACTCGGCTAATACAATAGAACCCCTCTTGTTATTGTTCCTCCTACTCATTCATTCAGCAGTGCTAGGTGCTACATTAGAGCCTAAGATCTTACTAATGAAATCTAATCTTTGTTTCAGACAGAACTGTAAAATCTTAACAGGTGTGTTCTCATTTTGAATATTAATATGTATTTTGTTTTATTTTTTTAAGTATATTTTATTGATTTTGCTATTACAGTTGTCTCATATTTATTCCGTTCTGTCCTGCACACCCTTCCTAAATGGCATACCCTCCCCCCCTTATAGTTCATGTCCATAGGTTATACATATTAGTTCTTTCGCTTCTCCATTTCCTATACTATTCTTAACCTCACCCTTCCTATTTTGTACCTGCCATTTATGCTTCTTATTCCCTGTATCTTTTTCCTCATTCTCTGCCCTCATCCTCTCTGCTTGATAACCCTCCTGTGATGTCCTTTTCTGTTACTCTGTTTCCATTCTAATTGTTTGCTTAGTTTGTTTTTGATTCAGTTGTTGATAACTGTTTGTTGTCATTTTACTGTTCATAGTTTTTGATCTTCTTCTTTCTCTTAGATGAGTCCCTTTAACATTTCATATAATAGGGCTTGGTGATAATGAACTTGTTTAACTTGACCGTTTCTGCCCTTCCATTCTAAATGATAGCTTTGCTGCATAGAGTAATATTGGATATAGGTCCTTGGCTTTCATGACTTCGAATACTTCTTGCCAGCTCCTTCTTGCTTGTCAGGTTTCTTTGGAGAAATCAGCTGATAGTCTTATGGGAATTGCTTTGTAAGTAACTGTCTCCTTTTCTCTTGCTGCTTTCAAGATTCTCTCCTTATCTTTAATCTTGGGTAATGTAATTATGATGTGCATTGGTATGTGCTTCCTTGAGTCCAACTTTGTTAGGACTCTCTTGGCTTCCTGGACTTTCTGGAAGTCTATTTCTTTTGCCAGATTGGAGAAGTTCTCCTTCATTATTTTTTCAAATAAGTTTTCAATGTCTTACTCTTCTTCTCCTTCTTGCACCCCAATGATTCAGATGTTGGAATGTTTAAAGTTGTCCCAGAGGTTCCAAAGCCTCTCCTTATTTTTTTGAATTCTTGTTTCTTCATTCTGTTCTGGTTGAATGTTATCTCTTCCTTCTTCTTCCAGTCGTTGGTTTGAGTCCTGGTTTTCTCCCCTTTTGTTGGTTCCCTGTACATTTTTCTTATTTTCACTTTACGTAGCCTTCACTCTTTCCTCTATTTTGTGACCATAGCAGAATGGTTACTTCATGCAAGCATTTCTGTGAGCATCCAGATTATCAGTGTTCTGAACTCTGTATCTGATAGGTTGGCTATCTCTTCATCGCTTAGTTGTATTTTTTCCCAGAGTTTTGCTCTGTTCTTTCATTTGGGCTATATTTCTTTGTCTTGGGCCTCCTGTTACACCATAAGGGGCAGAGCCTTAGGTATTCACCAGGGTGGGGCAACCTAGGTCGCTGAGTTGTGATGCTGTCTGTGGGGGAGGGGTCCGAGGGGGAACAGTGCTACTTGCTCAGCTCTCACCCAGCTTTCAGTCACTTCCCCCGCTACCCACAAACAAATTGAGCCCTTCTGGTGTTGATTCCCAGGTGGGTGGGTTTGTGTACCTTCTAGGACCCTGTGGGTCTCTCCAATGGACTGTCTCGTGAGGCTGGGAGTTTCTACCGCTGCTGTAACCCCCACAGGTATTTTTTTTCCTCCACACTGGAACCCTGCGTTGCACCGTCTGTCTTGCTTTCCAGTTGTTCCCCCAGTTTATCTGCAGGCAAAAGTGGGACCGCCTGGTCCACCAGCTACCACCTTGCTGTGCATCCTCTCCGCCCTGTCTGCCTGTCTCCGCCCCTCCTACCAGTCTGGATGAATGTTTCTTCTTTAACTCCTTGGTTATCAGACGTCCATACAGTTCGATATTCTGGCAGTTCTGGGTTATTTTTTGTTTTTAATTTTTTTGTTCTCCTTTTGGTTGTGCAAGGAGGCAAAGTGTGTTTACTTACACCTCCATCTTGGCTGGAAGTTAGAAGTCTTGAATATTAATGTATATTTTAAAGTACCAAAGGCAGAGACATAGAATCTGTACACACCCTGATTTTTTTGGTTAAATTTTTGAGATCAGCCACTTTACCATATTTATTATTGTTTTTAAAAAACACATTGTAAACTCTCCTTTCTGTCCTCCCTCCCTGCAGTGTAAGAAATATAACTGCCCCCCCTTGTACTCTTTCCCCAGTTTTTCCTTACCTCCCCACAAAGATAACTACTATCTTCAGTTTAGTGTTTTCTTCCCTTCTAATGTCTATATTCTTTTTTTTTTTAAAGAAAAGGCTAATATTGTTATGGTTTCTACTTATTTTTGTGTAAATCGAAACAGTTATTTAGCCTGAGTGTAGTATACCATGTAAAGATAGATAGACCAGTAGAAAGCATAGCCTAGATTAGGATCCTCCCCTTTTGGTTACTTTATACTGTGACAGAGGTGGTAATACAGATACTTGGGAAAGAAAAAGTACCAACTGGTTCCTAATACATAGGAAAAATTCGATCTCTACTTGACACCGTAATCAGAAAGAGAGACAGCAGCATATTTAAAGACATAAACATGAAAAACAGAGTTGTAAAATTTTGGAAGAAAATATAGGTGAATATTTTATCACTTGTTGGGGAAGAATTTCTTAAATAAGATATATAAGAGTGGTAGATGTGATTAAAGTTTAAGGCCCCTGGGAAGAGAGAGAGCAAATAAGCAATATCTTGCATATCTTATAAAGAACTCTTGTACATCAGTTTTTAAAAAATAGACCAACAACCAAATAGAAAAGTGGCTAGAAGACATTAATGAACAATTAACAGAAGAGAAAACTTGAATTGTTAGATAGCAAATATTCACTGAAAGGTTTGTATCATGGCAAATGGCGTTAGTTGGGTAGGAGTTGGGGGTTAGGTTACTAGAGGCAAAGAAACCACTTAACTAATTAAGCAGAAGGTTATAAAAATTGGAATTAGCCATTGCTATTATGTGTTCTTTAGCAGCATGCTTTATACTTCATACCCCTAAAATTTATACTCAACAGTAAAATAATTACAATCAGTTTAGGAGCTATATAAATTACCTAAAATGATCTGTATTCAATTAGCTTACTTAACAGTGCATTTTGAGTTCTTCATATTTTTGATTTATTGTGAGTTTTATGTATTTTTAGACCTGAAGATTCTATGTTGTCATTATAAAATGTAACTTACTTACTTTTTCAGTTAATATTTAGTTACAATAGAGTACCTATTTAAAGCATGGGAATTAATTAGAAACTCATGCTATAGTACAAACTTTACATGTTTGGTATTACATATATTCATTTTTAGGAGATTGATTTGTATTTATTTCTATTTATAAAAGAATTTTTATTTTGTTTTTGTACAAATATAGCAATGGAACTGTACCACAAAGGTAACTATTTTAAAAACCTTTGTAACTACTGGTATTTATAGAGTGTGTTTAGGTAATAAACACACTGTTCTGCCCATTGGTCCTGCCAAGATGACTCCTCCTGGTGGTTTACCTGGCAACTATGGTTCCAGGCTGGTAGGAGAATGGGACCATAGATGTAAGACTGTCCCAGTGGAGGAAGGAGATGGAGGAATCAGATTTTTTTCTAGCATCTAAGTTCTCCAGAGGACAGGAAGGAGAGAAACCCATTGGAGAAGGAATGTAAGGGAAGAATGGAAATCGTTCTATTTAACTAGCTTGTTGATCTCCACACTGGAAGACAGTATTTATGGTTCAGTTTTTATTTTAATGACAACATAATTCACAACTTTGCTAGTCTTAAAGTTGTTGAAGTTTAACTTTAATTATTAAAAGATTAAGAAGAGTGATAGATGAGGATATTTGAGGCTGGTCCTTTCACCCTTGTGTGTCATGCTTTTGCCATATGCAGAACACGAGAGTCAGAATAGAATTGGCGTTTTAATGCTTTTGTCCAACTCTGATATTTTTCTACCATGGTTCACCAGTTACATTATTTTTAGTATCAGTAGCAAACAATTTATATATATTTATTTTGTTCTTAAAATACTCATGGGTTATTATACTTCTGAGGGCTTTCTTTTTCCTGAAAAACTAAAAAGATTTGAGACAATAGTGTACATCTTTTGTCTTAAGTTTTCATACATGTCCAAGAAAAATGAAAGATACAGATTGTGGTGAAAATTGAATCTTTACAATGGGCATTTTTTAGAGAAATCCTTTAAAAAGTTCCCCTCCCCCAACTGTGAGTAACCGATTCTGTTACATATTCATATTCAGATGTATTCATACTGTGAGTATGATGGGGGACCCCAAAAATTTCTGGGATTATCTCCTGGAGGGTAAGTCCCTTGTGGTAGAGGCTTCCCCAGCTAGGTGAGTGTTCTAGGAACCCATCTGTGTCAGTGTACCAGCTAGTGTTGTGAGGCATTCAGCTTTAGAGAATATTTTTTGAAGACTCTTCCAACACATTTGCCCATTTCACGATGGGTGATTTATGAGCACACCTACTCACACTGCACTGAGGGGTCCTCAGTTTTTGACCAAAAAACGTGGTGAACCCTGTGCCCCACCCTCCCCATTCACCCGATCTTGCCCATGTGACTTTTTTTGTTTCCCCGGATGAAAAAAAGTCCTCAAGGGGAAATGTTTTGCCAACGTGGAAGAGGTGAAACAAAAAATGACAGAAGCTCCAAAAAGCATCAAAATTGATTAATTCAAAAGCTGTTTTGAGCAGTGTGAAAAACATCTGTATAGGTGTATTGCATCAAATGGAGAGTACTTTGAAGGTGACTAAAGTTTAAACATGTTAGAATAAACACAATTTTTTTATAAATAAACTATTTTTGGGGGGGGTTCTTCCTTGTATAGTGAGAAAAGACAACAATTTATAATTTGGGTTTACCTTTTTTGGTTCATTGTGAACAACCCATTTTTCCTTTTCTTTTTGAAGGTGACATGGAAAGCCCGGTGTTTGCATTTCCGCTGCTGCTAAAAATAGAAGCCCGAATTGAAAAGCTCTTCATGTACTCTTTTTTTTGGAACTTTGAATGTTCACAGTGTGGACACAAGTATCAAAACAGGTTGGTTTTTATATTTTTTAAAATGGATTCATTCTATTGAAAATATTTACAAATAATCAAATTTGAATAAAGTTTGTTTCCACTTCTAATACTGCTCTCTCCATTGCTCCTTCTACCCCTGATAAACTTCCCACCCTATCTTGAAGTCTTTACAACATTAAGGTTAAAAGGAAGGATCTGAGCCCAGAAACTGCAATTTGCTTGTTTCTTTAAACTAGAAGAAAACCTGTGGTTTGATAGACTACCAAAAAAAGTTTTTGGTAAAAAACTTTTACCAAAAAGTTTTTTAAAAAACTTTAAAAAAGTTTGGTAAAAAAGAGTTTTCTTAAAACTTTTCAGTGGTAACTGGGACAAATGGGAAAAGTGGAATCTTCCCCTCCACTCCCTCTGGATTTCCTGCTAATTAATAAATAATACCTCTCAGAACTCCATGAAACTGTTTTAACATCATAGAAACTGATTTTGGTCTCCTAGAGTTGGGCAGCAGCTCTCAGAGTAACATGTGCTTTCCTGTTCCTAACCTTAGTCCCTGAAAGAACAGGTGACCCCAGAATCCTCCATGAGCAGTGTCATTCTTCCTTTCCACCGTCCTGCCACCTATTGGAGGGTCCTGGTTGGTGTACATGGCCCTGAGATGGGCACTTAGCGGGAAGCTGGAGAAGAAAGAAACTGCCGGTTTCATTAGCCTCTGTGCACCTACCACATGAGAGATACTAAGTTTTAGAAGTGTTAGGGAAAGACTTGCCATTGACAGGATACCCTCACTTTGTCAATATATGAGAAAGTTGCTGGCTGGAGGTTGAAAAGATGACCAAACTGGTTCTGTTAGTATTTATTCAGACTTTCATAATAGAGACAAATCCTTTCCTCACTTCTTAAACTCACCTACTATTAAAAAATTTGGTCTTTCAAAGTTGTTTTTTTTTTCAATGTGAGAAAAAAATGTTACTTAGATGTTTATTATCTACATTGAGGTTATTTTTAGGTATTTCAGGATCAGTTGAGAGTCAAATCTATAAAAGAATGCCCTAGGGAGTGTAAGCAACAGAACCAGAAGACATTTTTTTAATACCAGTTAGCTCAAAAGTACTAGAACAAAATAAGAATTAGCATTTCACTCATACCTAGGAATTATATAATTTTGCGTGAGTATGAGAACAAATAGCTGTTTCCTGGTTTCCTATCATTGACTTATATAAATAATCTGATTTTCTTCCCATCTAACAAATGTGGAAACTGAAGCTTGAAAGGGGTTAAATAGATGTCCAAGGGGACACATAGCTAGCAGGTGGCAGAATTCAGGCCAGGGTATTTTGGCATCTAAGACTTTCTTGCTCACTGTGGTATATTCCCTGATCACCATCTGGATTTTACATGATATAAACAAGCTTGATTAAAATTGGCTAAATGCTATCTCTTTTAAAATGCACATCTCAGTTTGAGTTTTTCATTGAATATATTGTGTGTGCTGGGAACTCAACTGAAATAATATTTAGGTCGTTAGTTAGGTAGATTACATGAAAACATCTAACAGAGGGTCAGTGACTGGGGGTGAGAATAGTACCAGCCAGGTAGGGTTGTCAGTGCACAGAAATGTTAGGTGTCATATACAGCATTAACACTTCTTTGCTGAGACAAACTCCCTTTTATAAACTAAGAAATGAGAGAGCTTTTACTTAACAGTTATCTTTGAGAACCAAGAATTTTGCAGAAATATGATCAATGCATTTATCAATCCCTCTATGCTGCTTTGCTTCTAAAGTGTCAGCTTCTTTGAGAGCTAGTTTTTAATAGTCTATGCTTATATCACTTATGATTTATCAGTATTTGCTACTGTCCCTTAGGTAATAAATAATTGGTTTTTTTAAATAAAGATTTTATTTATTTGTTTTTAGAGAGTGGAGAAGGGAGGGAGAAAGAGAGGGAGAAAAACATTGATTGGAGCAACATGGAATGGTTGCCTCTGGTATGTGCCCTAACTGGGGACCAAACCCACAACCAAGTCATGTGCCCTGACTGGGAAGCAAACCAGCAACCTTTCACCTTGGAGAACAATGCCCCAACCACCTGAGCCACACTGGTCAAGGCAGTAATGGTTCTTTTGAAGATAATTTTTATTAAAGCAAATGCAGGTGAGGTGCAGTGAGCATCTTATAAAGATTATTGCTTTAGGTGCCTGTTGCTCTCAAGTATTCAAACTGAAGTGTAGATTTAGAACTTGTATAACTGTGAACAAAATTCTTTCACAATTAGTGTTCTGATTTTTTTAAGGATCAAGAAAATTAAGTTGTATGTATTCCTGATTCTGTATTTGGAAATGCCCCTTTTGTTTTTGGCTGTCAATCATGGATAGCCAGATTGTGAATTTTTTGAGTAAGGGATGAGCTCTTAATAAATTTGAAAGCGTTAGGACAGTAGTTCTCAACTAGGAATGACTTTGTGTCCTGTGGGTGGGACATACAGCAATGTCCAGAGGTACTGGGGGCTGTTACTGACATGTAGTGTACAGAAGCCAGGCATGGTGCTAAACATCCTGCAATGCATACGGCAGTCTCCCCAACAGAGGATTACCCAGTGCAAAATGTCAGTGGTGCTGCTTTTGTCAGTGAGAAATCCTGCCTTTTACATTTTCTTCATCTCATGGCTGGAAAAACTGTAGGTAACTCATGTGGAGAGTCTTCACAAAGAGCTTCATTAGGGTTAGGAAGCAACATCGGCCTATTAATTTATTATATGTTTTTGGGTTTTGTTTTGTTTTTTGCGGGGGGAGTTAAATATGAATAAACAAATGAAGGAAATACCTTCTAGTTTAGACTATTTTTTTTAGACTAAAATTAACATGAATGAATTTAAATGAATTTATGTCTTTTTTTTTTAATAGATGTATGAAGAATCTGGTCACCTTTACAAATGTCATTTCTGAGTGGCACCCGCTTAATGCTGCCCATTTTGGTCCTTGTAACAGTTGCAACAATAAGTCACAAATAAGAAAAATGGTATTGAAAAAGTGAGTTCAAATTGTCTTACTAATTTTAAAATAAAATGAATGTGGATTTACATATTTTTTTAATGTGTACTGCTGAAAGTGATGGCTGCAACATACTTTTCAGGTATTTGACTTAACACATATCCATGAATTGCCAAAATGCTTTTTTGTCAAGAACTCTGGCCAATAAGTAAGCTATGTTGTAGGTGAAATAACACTGAAGAGCAGACTCGGGGTGATTATCTGAGCCTACTCCCCTAGTGTCTTTAATTTGTTTGTCTTTTCCTCCCTTTAAAGACATTAAACTTCAATATTTCTCTACTCTGCCATGTGCCCAAAATCAGTAGAATGCCGAGATTTCCTTAATCTGATATCAAGAACTCATGATTCAGTGATGAGCCACAGGCTCATCTGCCTGAATTTCCAACTTCTACCAGATCTTGGCCTGTTGATTCCTCATCCTCTTGTAAGAGTTCTGCTTCCCATGAGCAGATGATTTTTTATTATGTTCTGCCAGCCTTTCTATTTGTCCTCAGTGGGAAGACTGGTCAGAACTATGGTACCTTTTCCTGTGGGGCCAGAAGCCTGTGTCTTTAAACTCATAGGTTAATACCATTCTGGGTAGGTTGTCTCTCTTTTGTTAGTATGTTCACATGTGCACATCCCCTTCAGTCTTTATTTTCTGCTGCCCTTATCTCTAACTACAATAAGAAAATGTTTTGAGGTATAAATTGATGTAACCAAGAACCAGTTATATTCTTACCTTTTCTGATGTCCTTGGATGTGCCAAGAAACCCCTCAGAATCTTTCCTAAAGGTTTGTTTTCATCCAACTAGTAAATTTCAAAACAGATAGTGCCAAGACTTAAAAAGGAGAAAAGAGCAGTGCCCCTCCTACCCTGTACCCAGGTGTCTACTTTAAACCTTTTAGGTAGTATTTACTTCGACTTTTCAAAACAGTATGTTTATTCCACCTTTATACAATCTTCTTCTTTTAATAGTAGTTGAGTATAAGTGCTCTTAACCAACACTTGGACCCATCTCTAACTTCTCCCTTCCAATATGATTGCATTTTTGTTTAAATTAATACTCATTGTTTATAATGAATATGCATATGTTCCCTTTCTAGCCAAGCAGTAATCATGGTTCTGTTTTATTTCTTTTATAACTCTTTATTTTTCCTGGAATTTTTAATTGCCCTATGTTTTTAAGTATGTACACGTTGTGATATTCTTTTTTCAAATTCTACAAACACCTATTAATGATTTTCTAAACACTCAAATGTTTCACAATAGTTGAGTCTTCTTCCTCTTCTTTTCTTTTTTTTTTTTCCTTCCTGGAAGCCTCTCTTCTGCCACCTTTCATTCTTCTGCTCCAGTGTTTCAATCTGTAGTAATTCCTCTCTGGGCTTGGTGCATGGGAGGGCTCTATACTCGCTTTCTGTCATTGACCCAGTTTTTAGCCCAAGAATTTACCATCGCATCCTGCATCATTCATTGCCCCTAGATACTGAGTCTTCTATGCCTGCACTCTCGCAGTCATGTCATCACTTCACCCCTTGTGTTGCGTTACCACTTTTCTGTTTGCTTTTTGTCTTCTAAATATTTATTGTCTCCTTTCCTTTTTTTTGTCCTTTTGGTTTATTACCTCTTTTTTTGGCCTTCACTATCATATGATAGAATTCACGCGGGAAGGCAGAGTAGGAAAGAAGAGGTGATGTCTTTAACCAGAAGTCCATAGTGTATTGGTTTCCCGCAGTCCAACCTTTGAGATCTAAGTGTAGAAGGAGGAGCCCTTTTTTTTTTTGAAAAGCCCTTTCCTTGATGAGGTAGAAAGGGCAGCAGGTGTGGGTGTGTGCCATCCTACACTGGATTATTGAATTGCTTGAGGCTTCTGGTGTACATAATTTTCATCTAAGAGTTTATATCTGCTATATAATTTCACCTAAGAGTTTTTACTTGCTTTTTTCCAAGCTCCAGCATTGAAGATAAACTCATACTATAGTTTTGTTTGATATGTTAATTGTTGCATTGTAACATATAATTTTTAATTATACAAATACGTTGCTTTACTTAAAGATTCATTCTCTGATATGGAATTGTATCTGCTGTATATAACAGTGTATCGGGGGAAATGTGTTTAGAGTTCTAATGGGTTCTAAATTATAAGCAGAATTTATAATTTGGATATTTACTATATTCAAAAATAAATTGAACTAGTATGTAAAATTAAAATGATGAGGTCTTTATAGAGTCATTTATAGTTTTTTACTTTGAAATTTGTATAACTTGCCTTTTATGTTTAATGGAATTTAAAAACAATACAGCTTTTACGGATAACTTAAAAGTAATTAGGTCTATAATGATATCATGCATAATTCAGCCTTGTAGCATTCTAAAAACTAATAGCATTACAAGGTCCCAGAACACCTTGTCTCAGGTAATCCACATCTCTAATATGTTCCCGTTAGAAAGAGAGCCCATTGGTAAATAAGATGAATGATATATATTGGGTCCAGATATGCTACTTTTCTTTAACTTACATGGGAATTGAATCATCAACATGGTGGTGATGTGGAGAACTAGCTTAGAATCTGATTTAATTTTATGTCACCAACTCTTGAAATGACTGTTTCATTCTCACTACTGCCATCATCATCTTTTTTATTTTATTTCATTTTTCTATTTGTCATGACCTTCATTAGGAGTCTGGTTTATTCACTGCCCTGGATTGTTGTTTGGAAAGCATATTTATTTAAACCTCATTTTTAACACTGATTTTTTTTTTAACTCTTTGCAGAAGATGGAATGGTAAGAAGAGAAGTAAGGCATTTCTGTTCTATGCTTTTAAAGCTTTTTAAAATGTCTAATACAATGATTTTGAAACTTTTAAAGGCAGATAAACTATACTTTCTCTTACTGATCTATTAAGTAGTTAAAATTATGGGTCTTTTGTTTTTGTTTTTTTTTAATCCTCACATGAGGACATTTTTTCATTGCTTTTAGAGAGGGGGGAGGGAAGGAAAGGGAGAGAGAAACACCCACTGGTTTCCTTCTCCTATGCACCCCAACCAGGGATCGAACCGCAATCTGGGTATGTGCCCTGACCAGGAATTGAACCCTCAGCCTTTTGGTCTACAGGATGATGCTCCCACCAACTGAGCCACACCAGCCAGGACTAAAATTATGTTTCTTAATTTAAATTTTCATTGTTTAGTAGAAAATGCTTTATTATTTTTATGAAATCTTTGAACTACCTCCAAAGAACGCGTTTGAAGACCTTTGTTGAACAGTTGACTTTTTCTAAAGATGTATTTTCTTGTTTACAATTAACATTAACCAATTTTAATTATTTTAATTGCATCTGATTTTACTCATATTTTTTGTCAGTCTGAAATAGTGCAGTGATGTAATAGATCTAAAATGTAATGAGGTTTTCCCTGGCTGATGTGACTCAGTGGATTGAGTTGCTGGCCTGGAAATCAAAAGGGCTCCCATGGATTCTCCGTCAGGGCATATGCCTGAGTTGTGGGCCAGGTCCCGAGTTGTTGGGGGGCAAGCAAGAGGCACAGATTGATGTTTCCCTCACACATGGATGTTTTCCTCTCTTTCTCCCTCCCTCCGACTCTCTAAAAATAAATAAATCTTTAAAAAATAAAATGTGATGAGGTTTAAAAATTACATTTACAGACTTTTCTGCTTAAAGTCTACATTATTACAGTTCAGAAGTAACATACGCACATTGTTGAATTTGCATTTTCTAAAATATCAGTTGTTAAGGTGGTAGGTGATGTGGGCTTGGAAAGAATTTACAAACAGAAGAAATTATAGAGAATAAAGTTTTTACTCACTCTCCAAGAAAGGAGAGGGGCATCAACAATGCTGGTGGAGAGAGACACCAGCATGGGGGTGAAGGGTAGCCTTGAGCTTGCATTGGATTAAAAAAGAGTGGGGATGTTGCTGTTGTGTGGCCCCTGGGCTGTTCAGTCGTTGTAATACAAGGCTGCGGTTGTTCCATTAACTTCTGCCTGTGGCTGGCTGTGGGGAGCAGTTAGTTTTCTTCTTGCTTCCAGTAATTTCCAGTCTTGAGGATAAGCTCAGAAGAGTAAAATGACAGTCATGTTTAACAGGGCCATAAGCCTGCTGGGCAAATGGTGCCACAATAGCAAATGGGGCTGACTTTGCCTTTTCATCAACAATTATATTACATTAGTTGGGGCGAAGTTAAAAACTTGGACTCCAAGTCATTAGCACAAGACCGTGGCTGCTCTGTATGGGTGAGACTCTGTGTCTTCTGCTGTCTTTGGTAGCAGGGCACATAGCACAGTCCTTTGTTTCCTTGCTCTCTTTTTCATTTTTTCTTCTCTTCTTGAGCGTAGATCCTTCTAATAGGAGGAGTTGAACCTCATGCTAGGGAGAAGAATGCAAATGGACCTTAGCTTCAAAGCCCTTGGTTCCAGTTCAATTAACCCTCCCCATCCATTTCTCTTATGGTTGATTCAGAACCTGACTTGCTTCCTTAACTCTGAGCATTGTCTTTGACACTCTAGTTTAGGCCTTGAAGATAAGAAGGAGCCTGAGAACAAAATCTACTTCTGGCTAAGGGTAAACTTCTACCTTCACGTCAGAGGCTGGAAATGAGAACCTGAAATGATGGTTAAGAGAACACTGTGACTTTAGGGGACACTAGAGTCTAGTGGGCCCACAAGGAAAATAAACTAGAAAAGGAGGAGGAGGCATACACTTTATTTTATTGACTCCAAGATGCCGTCATTTATAAGTTGGACCATTTTAAAAAATATGCAATTAAGGATGTGAGGGCGATCTGGCTGTGACATATGTCACCCCGTTGATCACCAAGGTTGATTTGGCTTATCTGGCTGTCTGGGCAGGTGTCCCCTTCCTCCCTCACTGATCCATGTACGTCCCTCCCCAAGCTGCGTACTCGGTCAAAGAGGATGACCTTCCCAACTAGAGGAGAGGACCAGTCTTTGGTCAAGGTTTTATACGAGTAGCTGTGCTTCCATGGTAGCATCTCCAAACAAGCTCTAAAGGTCCATTTGTAGGAGAACAGAGTGTAGTCAAGCTTCTAGGACTCCAGACACATCCAAGCGAGGCACTGCATATGGCAGTCTGCCTTTCTTGGAATAAATAAATAAATAAGTAAGCAAGCAATTAAGAAAAATGCTGCCTATTTAACAGTTTCCATGTGTAAAATCACACTAGGGGCAAGACAGTGCTATAGGAATTAGCTTCAGAAGGTATCTTGAAAAGGTAGAAAACCAAGAGAGAACTAAATATTAGTACTTAAAGAGTTAGGCAGGTGCCTACAGCCTGCCTTTCCAGCTGTGAGAATGTATTTCTAGTTTTACTGTCGATGGTTGATTCAAAGATACACTCTTCATATTTTAACATATTTGAAATGGGAATACATCTAAAAATTGCTGGGATGGTATAGTTTAGTTGGCAGTATTATTTCATGGTTATTACACATTTTATAATCAGTGACATCTTAGATTGATAAAATAGGTATGATAAAAACCAATGGGAGTTGAGTGTTATGATGGATAGTTTTGCAGAACTTTTTATTTATAGGTACTTGAATTTTGGGGACTGAATTATTCTCTAACAGAATGATTGGCAGTGGATAATTTACAAAATGTCTTTGTCGGTCTGAATAACCTGCATTTTGGCCATTGATTCAAGTTTATTTTCAACTGAAAAATTTCGATAAGCTAAGTTTTGACAGCTTTTTAAATATTGGAAAGGGAGATATTGAACATTTTCCTTAAATCTTGAGAGCTTTGTTAAATTCAGTTATCTGAGGCTCATCCTTGAGTTCTGTTTTCTGATTTGCCATGTATATCTTGAAGTTTATAGTAAATTAACCAGTATGTTGTATTTTCTTCTCTACCTAATTACAAATTAAACATTTCTTAAATGGAAATTTTAATTTGATGGACGTCTCCTATTCCTGAGATAACTGGAGAGAAAAGGGCCAAAGAGTTAGCATGTTGGTTTTTTTAAATGTTTATTTGAACATCTTAGGCTTACTACTTTGTTTCACATGTTGCCTATTCCCCCTAACAAAAGCAATTCATTTGGCCACTTGATGCCAATGAAAATTCTTACAGGTCTGGATTTTCCCTTTGATTCTAGAAAGTAGTTACCAAGAGGTCTTTAAGCTGAAGCAGCACCATGGTTTACAGAGCAAGTCTTGTTTAATGGTCTGTGTTAGAGCCCTATTGCATGATGGCTTTCAACTGTCAGTGATTGCATTCTTAGAAGGATTTGAGTATTATCCATGTCTTAGAGTGAGCTCTCCATCCCTAATTAAGGCATACACCTGGAGGTGCTCAAGAATTAGTGCAATTTGCCTGGAAAATACTGTATGACTTATTTTGCTCCAGACCTTTTTTCATATAATCAGGCCTGTGGTATTAAATTTGATCTCTCTTACCTTTCTCTCCCACAGAGTGTCTCCCATATTCATGTTGCACTTTGTAGAAGGGTTACCACATAGCAACTTGGAACACTACTCATTTCATTTTGATGGTTGTCTTTACCAAATAACTTCTGTAATTCAGTACCACGCAAATAATCATTTCATAACATGGATTTTAGATGCTGATGGTAAGTGTTAAAACGTTTTTCTTTTATGATAATAGGCATAGAAATGAAACATTTTTTTTAAAAAAGAGAGACTTTGACTTGACCCTTTTTTCTCACTCTTCTTGCCCTTGCCTTTAATTTTTTTAAACAGTGATGTCATATACTACTGTTGGCTTATAGATTGCCATTTTTCACTTAATATCTTTGTTTTTATTTTTGTATTACATGAGTAATATATGTTCAGTATAAAAAAAGAATGGTGGTTATTTGATTTTTTCTTTTTAGGTACATAAATTATACTTGTAAAGAAAGTACATGGTACTGAAGGTTTTTAACTGAGAAAGAACAAAAATAAGTGTTATTTACTTTGCAGTTGTTGGTAATATAAATAAAAGTAAGCATCTATTTCTGAAACTATTAAGCATTATAAACTATGTAACCTTCTCTCACTGTGAAGTGGTTTGCTTAACAGCTAAAGGGGAAGTAAAGCCTTATTTAAATAATTAAGCTCTTCAGTAGAAGGATAATTAGTACAGCTCATGGATTTTGCTAATTTTTTCCTTCTATTTATCCAATGTAGTTTATACTTGAGTTTGTTTTCCTCACAATGTTTACTTTGTCTTAGACAATATAACTCAGTCCCCTTAAAGCAGCAGTCCCCAGCCTCTTTGGCACCAAAGGACTGGTTCTGTGGAAGACAGTTTTTCTGCAGACCAGGGGTGGGGGATGGTTTTGGGATGATTCAAGCACATTGCATTCAAGCTCGCCTCCTACTGTGTGACCCGGTTCCTAACAGGCCCAGGCCAGTACCAGTCCGCAGCTGGAAGCTGGGGACCCCTGTCTTAGAGTGTTATGTATCAGGCTGTTGATATTTTTTCTATTTTTTATTGTTTGAACACTTGTTTATATTTGATATTTTTCTCCTGGGGATGATTTGGATGGATGACACTAAGTACTTTGTAAACTGAAACTTGCATTGCAGGGGGAGTTGTTCTCAGTAACAAAAACTAAAACAACAACTTATTTTAATTTTTATTGGATTCCAGGCAATGAAAAATCTTCTTTAGGTAGAAGACATTAAATGGTTTCCAACCCTAACAGCATATAAAAATCATGGTTAGCTTGTTAAAAATGACCTGGTTCTCCTGTAGACCAGTTGTCTGTCCCTGGGGATTGGGCCCAAATATTAATCAGGTGATTCTGATGTGCACGTGTGGTGGGGAACCACTGGCCCAAACAAACAAGAGGCTCTCAAAGTTTTAATGGGTCTAGAATAAGAAGTAGGGGGTTCAGGTAGTTTATAAGGGTGTATCCACATAAACTTAGTGAATGGTTTTTTTCTGTTGTGTGTTTGTGTGCGGAGGGGGTTAACTTCTTTCTCTGTCATCCATCATCCCATTCCCACTTGACAAATGAGAAAAGTACACACCTAAATACCTAAGTTTTTTTTTTTTTTTTAACCAGGAAGGAAGGAAGGGAAGGAGGGAGGAAAGAAATGTTGGTACTTGATGGAAGTTTTGGTAACAACTTCATTTATCCTGATAATTTTTATGTATGGGGAGAATCTATTTTCTGATGTTGTTGGTTAAATTAGGTAATACTGTATTCTAAGTCCCAAAAGTTAAATATATTTCTGTCTTGGTTTTTCTTTTGTAAGAAAGAGTGAATACTCTTTCTCAAGTTTCTGGATGTCAGTCCATAACTTTTGTTATCCAAATAAGGACTTTGAGACTTGGCAGAGAAAATTGGCGACATGAGGATATGGTCATGTTTTCAGGTATTCTCTTCAGTGGGTATTTGATGACATGGCAGTTAAAGTGACCAGAAGAAAGTTAATCTGGGATGGTGGTTTCGAACGTGTGACCTCTTTTGCTTTCTCCCTCTTTCCCCAGGAAGTTGGCTGGAATGCGATGACCTAAAAGGTCCATGTTCTGAAAGGCGTGAGAAATTTGAAGTCCCTGCTTCAGAGATACATATTGTCATTTGGGAAAGAAAAATAGCCCAAAAGACAGATAAAGCATCTGGCTGTCTTCCACTTCAAAAGACTAACGATCAACATGCTTGCAGTGATGAGAAACAGGCACCTCCACTATTGTGTTTTGTGGGTGATGCGGCAACGACATCAGTTGCTCCTAACACTCTTTCCCAAGTTGAAGGTGTAACTCATGGACCTCATTTACTTTCAGGCCTGAAAGGTTTGGCTGACAATGATATTTTACCTTTGACACCTGAAAAAATACAGGTTAACTCTGAAGGTTTCCTATTAGAAAATATACCTGTGGCAGAAAATGGAGTGATCATCAAAACAAATTCTTTACAATTGCAGGAGTCGCTAATGGCTTCTTTTATATCAGTTGGATGTAAGGAAAAGCCTTCTGAAGACCATCTTGTGGACTTCAGCTTTCCATCTCAGATTGTAAATACAAACATGCAATCAATACAGCCAAATTCAGAAAATACTGTAATTACTAAACCTGTGACTAATATTCATGCTGTTGGTCCTCTACAGGAACTAAAGTCAGTAGAAATTGAGGGTACAATTGCCCTAGAGAAGGATGTTCCATTAAAACAGTTTCTTTCACCAAAAACTGAGAAATTAAAACCAGAAAAACACATTACACCTCAGGTATCTAATTTAAAGAGAAAATTTTCTCAAACCATAGTGGCTGAGTCATCACAGGATCAATCTCTGAGAGAAAATCTGAAGAAACCATTTGTGGGAAGCTGGGTTAAAGGCTTATTAAGCAAGGGTGCTTCTTTCATGCCGCCTTGTGTTTCAGGTATTAATAGAAACACTATAACTGATTTGCAGCCTTCGGTTAAGGGGGCAAGTAATTTTGGTGGCTTTAAAACTAAAGGTATGAACCAGAAGGCTCACCGGGCATCTAAGAAAGCTTTCAGGGGTGCAAGTAAATCTACTCCAGCCAGTCACCCTCCACCAAGTCCACCATCCTCAGGTAGCATAGCTTCTCCACATGCTAATGCTAATGCTGACCTGGAAGTTTTGAAGAAACATGAAAAGACCTCACACAGAACTCAGCCTAGCTACAGATCTTGTGGAAATGAAAATGGTGTTTCTTCATCAAACCATGAAGACTCTGTTGAGGGTCAGATTCATAAACTTCGTCTAAAACTTCTTAAAAAACTTAAGGCAAAAAAGAAGAAATTAGCTGCTCTTATGTCTTCCCCCCAAAATGGAAAACTTCCAAGTGAAAGTTTAGAACATGTGTCCCATCGTGGGTCTCCAAATGACGGTCAGTCAATAGAAGACTTGTTAAAAGAACTACAATACCAAATTGATATTGCTGATAATAAATCTGGAGGAACCACCATGCCTAATGTTTCTTCACACAGTGGTCAAACTCATGAAGAAATTTTAGCAGAATTATTGTCTCCTACAAATGTTTCAACAGAGCTCTCAGAAAATGGGGAGGCTGATTTTAGGTATTTAGAAATGGGAGATAACCATATCCCAGCACCAGTACCTAGTGAATTAAATGGTATTCCCCAAAACACACACCTGAGACAAGACCATAATTATTGCAGCCCCACGAAGAAAAATCAGTGCCAAGTTCAGCCAGACTCATTAACAAATAATGCCTGTATTAGAATATTGAACTTGGAAAGTTCCCTAAAGACTGATATTTTTGATGAGTTTTTTTCCACTTCAACATTAAATTCTTTATCAAATGACACATTAGACTTACCATATTTTGATGAATATCTGTTTGAGAGTTGTTGAATGTTTATTAACTCTTTTTAGTTTGATATTTATTATCGTCTTAGAAAAACTTAACTATGTTTCTAGTTAGTGTTTGTACACTGGCCTTGTCATGAACAAAATGTAAGCTGCTAAAGGTTTTACCTCTGGTTCTGCCCCTAAAGCATGTAATTTGTTTTACAAATTAAAATGACCAGGAATCTGTTATCCTTGTTGGCTTCATTTTGTATTTTTAGGACAATGAGGATTTTAAAAATGAAAATGAAAATGAAAAGTGGTATCTTGTTTCTGACAGTTTATAGTTTGGGTACATTAAATTTCACATTTTAAATTTTGGTTACATTGGTTCAGGAAGTTTATGCAAACTTAAGTCACTGTATATGGTATGTAACTGCGTGACTTTTTGCTAATGGTTCTGGGGTACAGTGGAATGTAGACATGTCCCATATAACTGATCTCCTTTTTCTCTCCTTACAGAGGGTGGCAGGAAACCATTTTATTAGAAATTTAAGCAATGGTAGTGATCAATACATGATTTATAACAGGAAAAATAATCTATTTTTGCATCGATGGGCAAAGAGTTTATGTTATCATAAATACTATCTTTCTCCCCAAGATATTTATTTCTGTAACCAAATAATATGGGGCACCATATTATTTGGGAGAAAATAATAACCAGTGCTGCCCTGGCTCATGTGGCTCAGTGGATTGAGTGCCAGCCTGTGAACCAAATGGTTGCCAGTTCGATTCCCAGTCAGGGCACATGCCTGAGTTGCAGGCCAGGTCCCCAGGAGGGGGCGTGTGTGAAGCAACCACACATGGATGTCTCCCTCCCTCTTCCTTCCCCTCTCTCTAAAAATAAATAAAATAATTTTAAAAAACAAAAAAGTAACCAGTGCCTACAAAACTTGCTATGTGTCAGGTGTTATTTATGAAACATTAATTCATTTAACCTTGATGTTCCTATGAGCAAGATACTTTTATCACACTTAACACGGAACAAAGTTGTAGAGCTGGGATTGGGAAGCATGGTTGCTACAACAGTAGAAAGTGCTGAACTTGCCAATACAGGTTTCCCCTCTCAAGCTTCATTTAAAGTTTGGATGCCCAGCAGCACCCCAGCTGTACTGACTTGGCAGTAGCAGTAGGTACCAAGGTTTAAGGGTGGCAGTCTTGGGGTAGAATACTTTGCCGGGGATTCAGTACTTTATCACTGATTTGTCTAAGTTACTTCCAAACCTCTGCCACTCCCTTTTTTTTTTATCACAAAAGTAATACATGTTTATTATAAGGAAAAAATGTGAAAATACAAAGAAACACCAAGGTTTTAGATCATCTTCACACTTAGTGGTAATAGCTACTGCAAACATTTTCATATTTTTATGCATATGCATGGTAAGAAATAAAAGTGGGATTCTACTGTGCCTATCTGTATGATCTGTTTTTATTTAATGTTTAGTGAACCTTTTTTCCATCACAGTTGTTGTTGTTAGTTATTTTATTCATTTAGTTTTAATTCAACTTTTTTTTAAATTTATTTTTTCATAGACATTTGTCTCTGCCTACTCCCCACCACTTTCCCTTGCCCCCTCCCTCCCTCAACTCTTCCCCTTTGGTTTTGTCCATGAGTCCTTGCTATATGTTCCCTGACTTGCCCCTTCCCTTCCTTTTCCCCTGCCCCCCTCCCTGCTTCCCTCTTGTCTCTGTTGGTTTCTTTTCCTTTCAGTGTTGCTGGTCTTATTTCCCTTGCATCTTTGTATTGTTGGTTAGGTTCCACTTATAGGTGAGATCATATGGTATTTGTCTTTTGCCCCCTGGCTTATTTCGCTTAGCATAATGCTCTCGAGTTCCATCCATGCTGTCTCGAAGTGTAGTACTTCTTTTTTTCTTTCTGCTGCGTAATATTCCATTGTGCAAATGTACCATAATTTTTTGATCCAATCATCTACTGATGGGCATTTAGGTTGCTTCCAACACTTGGCTGTTGTAAATTGTGCTGCTATGAACATTGGGGTGCATATGTTCTTTTGAATTGGCGTTTTGGGATTCTTAGGGTATAGTCCCAGCAGGGGAATCACTGGATCATAAGGCAGTTCCATTTTCAGCTTTTTGAGAAAATTCCACACTGCTTTCCACAATGGCTGCACCAGTCTGCACTCCCACCAACAGTGTACTAGTGTTCCCTTTTCTCCACAGCCTCGCCAGCACCTGTTGTTTGTTGATCTGTTTATGATGGCCATTCTGACCGGTGTGAGGTGGTACCTCATGGTGGTTTTGATCTGCATTTCTCTGACCATCACAGTTTTTGACAGCATTGTGAGGATTACCGTTGTCTCGGCAGCCTTTAGGTGCTGAAGTGCTCTATAATGTTTTGTTATTATTAGTTGCCCTACAGGGATTATCCTTGTTGATAAAGTTTTGCACATATCCAGGTCTTGTTTATGGGGAGTGGAATTGCTGGGTCAAAGGATATGTACTTTTAAGTAGCTTGGTTGGTTGGTTGGAGCATTGTCCCATGTACCAAAAGGATGCAGGGTCAATTCCTGGTCAGGACACACAGCTAGGTTGCAGGTGTGGTCCCCAGTTATAGGAGCATACAGATGTGTATGGAAGGCAATCCATTGATGCCTCTCTCTCACACCGATGTTTCTCTCTCCCTTTCTAACATCAATAAATGTGTGCTCAGGCAAGGATTTAAAAATAACAATAGTAAAAAGCCTTTTAATTGCATGATTGACTTTAAAACATGACTAAAGGTTTTACCTTTGGTTCTGCTTGAGAGTTGTTGAATGCTTTTTAAGTCTTAGTTTAATATTTATTTTGTCTTAGGAAAACTATGTTGTAGGTCATATTCATACACTGACCTTGTCAAAAACAAAATGTTCCTGAACCCTCACCAACACTAAGTAGTAACATTGACCAGGGGAAAACCCATTTTTGTTTACATTTCCATGATTACTAGTGAGATTGATTATTTTCTATAACTTTATTGTCCATTTGAGTTTCTCTGAGGAATTGCCTATCCATTTTCACCTGTTGTTATTCATTCAAGGATTTCTCGATTTCTGCTAAGTGCCAATGAACTGTTGTAAACTGGTAAACCCCAGAGATACTGCAGTGAAAAATAGAGAATTTTTCTGCCCTTTGGTTTACCTTCTAAACAAGGAGTTACCTCTATAATGTTAGGTGGTAATAGGAGATGACTGCAGTCAATTCTTATTTGCGGTAGTTCTGTTAAAGTCACTGTGAATGCTGAATTCACAAATACTGAACCATTGTGCCTAGGGGAAGTATAAGGTTAGGTTCCTGTGAGCCTCTGGTCACATTTTTGTCAATCAGTCAACATATAACCCTGTTACTTGTCTATAACTGTTCAAATACCTTATGTAACACAGTGGTACCCCCGCCCCCCATCTGCAGGGGATGCATTTCAAGACCTCCAATGGATGCAAAAAAATGCAGATAGTACCAAGCCCTATTTAGATTTTTTTTTCCCGTATACATACACACATACCTATATCAAAATTAATGGCTTCTGTTTGGTATTTCTGAATTGCAGCATCACCACTCTTCCACTTTGGGGCCATTATTAAGTAAAATAATGTTTCCTTGAACACGTACATTGCTATACGAAGACAGTCAGATAGATGGCTGCTAAGTGACTGATGGGTGGGAATTGTCTATAGTGTGGACAGAGGGAGGATTTACATCCCACCAGGATGGAGTGGGATGGCACAAGATTCCATCAAGCTACTAGGCACAATTTAAACTTTATTTCTAGAATTTTCTATTTAATATTTATGGAGCATGGGTAGCAACAACAGGCAGAGAGTGTAACCACAGATAAGGTGTAAGGGAGGGGTGGGATGGGGAGAGTTTAAAATCTGTTGTTGGTTCATAGCATTGAACATAAAGCTAATAGCATGAAGCTTGTCTAACTTTTTTTGTATATTTTCTCCATTGGACATGTCATACCTTTCTTGCACTTAGGAACACTAGAGCACTTTAACACCACACTTGTGGACCATTTTAAACAGTGGAATCACCAACAAAAAGTGAAAAATGTGACTACACTACAAAAAGTTTAAGAGCTGAAACAAAGGCAGTGTTGACTTAGACAGCTGAGAACCTGTGCTTTGGGTGACTCCATTCAATTTTTCACTGCTCTGTGCATGTTCATAAATGACCACAAAAGGACTGATTGATTGACTGCAAGTATTGATTTTTAGGGTTACAAATAAATTTTAGAAAGACAAATTCACAAATATAAAATCTGGGAATAATGTGGATTGGCTTTATGACATCACATAGCCTAAATGCTATGAAGAAAAGCAGATGAGTATATCGGGGAGGGGAGCGGGATTCTTGGAGATGGGGACTGTGAGCAGGGTCTTCATTGAAGTTAGGGAGTTGGCTATGTGACTGGATGAAGGGAAGAAAAGTCCTAAGGAGTGAGAGTACTTAGCATGAGTGAGGACAGGAAAGAGGCCAGTGTGGTAGAGCAGAGTGAGCAAGGGAAGGCAAGTTAGAATATGAGGTAAAGGAGGTTGGTGGAGACCAGATCTTGTGTGGCTTTGTGAGCCATAGTGAGGCCCTTGTCTAAACATGAGAATAATGGGAAGCCACTGGGATCAGTGAAGTGCGGAAAGTGACTATAGTTGGTCAGTAGAAGCCCTGGTCTATTGCAGTCTCCTTAGAGTTCAGGGGAGATAGCTGTGCAGATTGTGAAAAAGTGGTTGGATTGCTTTTCATTTGCATTTCAAAGGGACAGTCGGATATGGATGAGTTGGATGTGGGGTAAAGAGCAGTCAGAGATCAGTCTGGTTTTATTGTCTGAGCTAATGTAGTTTTGCTATTTCCTGAGACTTGGGAAGGAAAAAATTTATAGAATCCAATTATGTATTGGGTTTCCCAAAACGTTCATTTAGTTTTTTCCATAAAATAAAAGACATATTTCATTTTCACCAATAACTTTATTGATTTTGATATTTTGAGTATACTGGCTATCACCCACTATTAGCTTCTAGTGGATAGAGGCCAGGGGTTCTGCTAAACATCCTCTAATACGTAAGAGCCCCACAGCAAAGAATTTGCCGAAAATATCAGTAGTACCAAGAAACTTCGCAAACCACTTTTGACCTGTTGGATCAGTCACTTCTCCAAACACTACACAAATCTGTTTTTGCATTTCAGTTGCATTTTTACCTTTCTTGAAATAATAAAGCGTAAAATAAAGCACAATATGTTGAAAATGTTTATTTTCTTCCATCTTCAATATTAAAATGGCTGCACAAAAATTCACCAATTTTGATAACTTTTTAAAATGCACACTGATATGA